TTCAATCAAAACCAGTCTGAGGAACAACTTTATTGAAACTGTGTTTTTATGCTCACTTCTGTTCAACAATTGGCAAAATTCAGCATCTCCTCTAGACATTTTCCCCTTCTCCCAACCAGCTTACCATTTTTAATACTGGAAGTTATTAATTTCTGAAATAATGTTCATTGCCATCAATATCTCAGTTTTTATCAGAACCCTGAATTTTTGCTATAACTTCATCTTCTAAGTTCTCTTCCTTGTGTCAAGGATTTGTTGGGCTACCCACAGTCTCCCAGGGCACAAAATGAAGTCCAAGGTTCACCTGTGACAAAAAGAAGGATTTCATTAGTTTCAATTCACAAAAGGAGTTTCATTTATTAGGTAAAACAATCTTTACTAAAGCATTTAATATTATAATTTTAAAACTAAAAAACAAAACATCATCAAGAACAACATTTTTCTGAAAAGGCTGATGATATCTCCAATCTGGTTATCAATAGATAGCTCCATCCTTATTTTTAAAATTTTTATTCTAGAAAATGCATTAAGAGAGGAGCACTCTTCAACTAGGTTCTTACACCGCTTGAATCAAAATCCAGGGCCAGTTTGAAAAGCCTCCAAAATTAAATTCTAACTGATAGATTCCCAACCCTAATTCTGCAATGGTTGTAGTATTCAGCAAAGAATGAAAAAAAAAAAATCATAAGTAGCTGTGTTAGCTAGTTCTTTCAAGAGTGACTTCACTGATCTGAAGAGATTTTAGAGAGATTACCCTTACTCAATATTACCCTTGAGTTCATTGTATTCTTTTGAGCACTCAGAGCTGTCTTCACAGAACTCTTGGGATCTAAAGCAGGTGAGGCAGATTGAGCATGCAAACATTGGGGTTTTTTCCCTTTGTCATTGCCACCTCATTCAGAAAAGTAGTTACCACACATAGGTAAGTTTAAGCATGTGTGTAGTCCTAGAGAAATTAACTGCATCTTGTTGCCCAGGGCCCCGGGGGCCTCAGCAATGTCCAACTTCCTCTAAGACTTCTTCACTAGTAACAAAGTTTTAGCAACAAAACATTTGGGCCAAGGACATGGAAAACTAGAAAAAAGTACAAAAATCCAGCTACACCTAGCACAGAACAGAGATTGGTGAGAAGCAGCTTTCTGCCCTGATTTGTAGGTGCTAGTCACCAGCTTGGCACCAGTCCCTGGATCATCCCAGCCCATGCCAAGCGTGAGCAGACAGGACAGGCACACAGGAGGGAGGCTGAGGCTGCTGGGCCTCCCTTCCCACACTGCACTCCACTGGAGGGGGCTGCCAGGGAACCTCTGGACCTCAGCACACCAAACACCCAGAAAAAAAGCAACCCGCCAGGCCAAGAGAGCAGCTTCAAAAGGAAGAGCAAGAAGAGCAAGAGGTGTAATACCATTCAAGAAAACTTTCTTCACTGACTTTAAGAATGGTCCAGTCCTGCAGTCACTGAACACCCAAATCTACCTGTCACCAAAAGAACAGGTGTGTGTTGACATCTTAATGTCACTAGCAGAAAACTAATCTTCATGGTCAAAGGCTTAGAACTGCTCCCTCACCTTGTTCTTGATGCATTGTTTTTCTTGGTGTGGGTAACAACAAAGGCATAAGGATATCAGCAATCAACAAATTTGTCTGTAGTATTACATAGATCACTTAAATGATCTTCTCAGTTTTCTGAGATGCTCTGATTTGATGTTGATAGTTTCAAGTAAAAATTCCACTCGTTAAAAGTACGAACAGTTCTTAATACACCTTCCCTAAGGCTAGTTATTGCATCTTCCCAGGGTGGATCTGTTGAATGACCTTATTTCTGATCTATGAATATTTATAAGGGTAAATGAGACAAGGATTTACACAAAACTTCTTTTTAAAATGATCTGTTCTCATTCTTTTTGAAAATTGGCTATTAAAGAAGGCACATCAGTTTAAAGTTCAAGCTGCATGAATACGCTACCAAGATATGATCATTAAAATCCTTATGCCTTGAATGTTTCCCTTGAACTTTGTTTCAAAGTTAAAAGATTACAGATATCATAAACCAAATTCAGTCTTTGTGTAGGTCAGCTTTAAATTGCAGCTGTTCCCATCAGGACTGAATTGGTGTCAGGCACCTCTTGGATTACAAGCCACCATAAAAGAAATAACAGACCAGAACTATGAAACTTATTACAAGTCAAGTACATTAAATAAAAGAGGATCCTACCAGTTGCATCATCAGCTTCTGTGTCTAGAAGAGCATCTATTGAAGCCATGCTTGTGCCTATGAAGGAGTCTGTAGTATCAGACACTCCTCGCTTGCTGAGACAAACTTCTTTGAGTTACTGACTTCTCTGCTTTGATCAGTGTCTTTTACTAACCTTCTGACTGTCAGGAAGGTTACACCACTTGTTGAGAAGGTTTTTCTAGGCCTTCCTACTATTCCCCAATGCACTTTTTAAATTGTAAGTCCACAGGTTCAATTTGTAGTATCTTCCAATACATATACATATAATACAGAGTAGGACAGAGATGAAAGATGCTTTCCCCCACCAAATCCACCTTTTTGTGAAAGGGTTAAATACTCTTTATTTCTGTTAGTCCTCTCTTGCAAAGAGGGAAGAAAATCTTCAGTGAGATACATTTTCTTCAGGAGGTATCTTCTGTTCCTCCCTGACCTTTTTCCAGTGGAATTTTCATCCTGTGTCCTTTTTCCTCAATAAATGTGCCAGCAAGACTTAATTAATAAAAGTTGTTGCAAAAGTAGAAGTTTCTTTCTTATTACATTTCTGTAAAAAGTTGTAACTGCCTTTGGCATTTCCAAGTTACAAAATAGTTGTATGGATAAATCAGATTATTTTCAATGTAATCTCTTCCTGAATAATCTGAATTAGGAAAAACAAGACTTGGGAGACTTTAGTCTTCAAACTTACCAATATTAGGCCAGGGTCTTCTAAATACTTACTTCCTGTTACAAATTTATTTGCCTGACTAAGTCCTAATTGAAGGCCCAATTAAATGGTGCTGCTTACATAAATAAAGTTATTCCCAGGCACAGGTTTTTGCAGAGTTACTCAAGAACACTTAAAACACCTTTATAAACTTGTGTTATTTCCAAAGATTCCTTTAATCAATTTACTAACCCCCCCATATTTTAAAGAGAAAAACCCTCAAACTTAAGAGCTTTAAAAACTTGCGCCTATTTTTCTCCTAAATCAAGATTATAAACTATTCACCACATTGTACTGAGTATGTACTTGTTTTAATTAATCCTTAGCTTCAGAGGGTCAAGCAGTATCTAGTTCACGTTCCAGTCTCAAACAATTTATGTTCAGAAGAATGCTCTACTCTCCTAGCTGTTGCCAGTTTATTGCAGCTCTTAACAGTCACTATTGACAGAAAAGGCAAGAACAAGAAATGCAGCAAGAGTGAGCACATGTTGAGATTCAGGAGGGATTACATTATATCTACAGCAGAGATATGCACACACAGAGCCCAAGCATTCAGTTATGTCTCCAGAAAAAGTCACCATGTTTATTTCAGACTTGTCCATATTGCAAACTACCCACAGAAGTGCCAAGCACAGATTAATTAAGGAGGTGGAGAATATCACCCATTCCCCTAGAGTAACCCAAGTAATATGCCTGTCTCAACCCTTTCTCCCTCCATCTAAAAGTCTTCCAAGGAACAAAGATAGTCAAGTGCCCACTTGGACTTATGGAGTTGGAGCCTCCTCTCAATTACAGGCACGTGTTGCCCTGCCAGCTCCAGTGAATGGAATTTCTGCCAATGAAAGCATGAAGATAACAGAGCTTTCAGAATTTACATCAGTGACAACTGTAGAGAGGAAAAAAATTAAAATCTGCTATTCTTCATTTTGATCTTGTGTGTGGCATTCCACTGTGGCTGAATGAAACTGAAGCAGACAACCCACTAGAATTACCTGAATTAACCTCAGAAAAACAAGCATGCCACTGTCTGCCAGAGTCCAGTACTAGATACCTTTCTTACGCTAGCTCAAAGCCCAGGCTCAAGTTCCCCCTCAGATGAATTTTAAGCCATTAACTAATGAACTTAGTGCAGTAGTAATGGAGACCTTGAACAGCCCAGTTGTGAAAAAAATAAAAGCCCAGTTGTGAAAAAAATAAACGCAGCTTCTCAGTTGTCATGGAGTGAAATTCTGCTTTCATTACCAGTACAGCTCTCTTCCCATGCTCCTGTATTTTTTTCAATGAAAGATGCATAGGGTTTGGAGTGCACAGATTTGGTACACGTGCGCAGCAGCTGGTCTGACATGATAAAGCAGAATGAATCTGAAGAAGTTCCTGCCTGTCTGACCAATAATCCATGAACTAAGAGGGATTTACTCAATAGACCAGCACAGATTCTATCCTGTCAAAATTAGAGACTGATTTTTTTTAAAAGTGCCTAAAGCTGTTTTCTGTTAGATGCTTTCCATTCCCCAAAGACCTAGACAGCAAGTAGGAGGCGAACAAAGGTGGGGGGAGGGAACTGTCTGAATCCTGCAATGTTTATAACTTCGCATTCGCTTGATTTGAAGCTCCAACCATAGAATTTGTTACTGAAGACATTTCTGTAACTCAAAGAAAATCAATCAGAAGAATAGCATCCAGCATGCACAGACACACACTGTATGCCAAGGCAGCATCCCCGGTACCGTGTCTCAATCTCATTCTTAAATACGACTTACTTGCCATCCTCTTTTGCTAGGTGGGAACTGCCGAGAGCTAAAAATAGCGCCAGGATTCAGTGGCGGGAGCTAAAAATACCCTTTCCCGCTCGATTACCGACTCGGTAGGGAAGACGGAGCTCTTGGCATCTGCCACAGCCTGTAGCCGCCAGCTGGGGATGCAGACACAGAGCCCAGCCCGGAGTTCCGCGCTCGGGGAAAGTTTCTCCGGCAGACGGAGCGGCCGCGGCGCTGCCCCCGGGCCCAGGGACCCCCACCCGCCCCAGCCCGGGCCGCGCCCCCGGGCCTCCCCGCCGCCCCTTACCCGCGTTCCGCAGCTTCTTGTTGCGGTACACGGACAGGATGACCAAGAGGTTGCCCAGCAGGTCCACCGCGATGGTGAAGATGAGGATGGCGGCCAAAGTGGAGGTCACCCAGGGCTGGCGGCGCGGGGCGCCCTCGGCCGGCGGGTCCCGCGGGAGGACGGAGCTGTTCAGCTCGCTCTCGTTCACTCTCATCCTGCCGCCGAACCTCCCAGCGCACTACCGGGTACCGGCGGGACCCGCCCGCGCTGCCTCGGGCGGGGGCAGCTCAGGTCAGGGCGGGGCGGGGGTCGCGGCGGCGGCCGCCCTGCGCCGCGGGGCTGCCCGCCCTAGGGCGGAGCGGGGCAGGCGGGAGCGGGCGCGCCTCCCATGGCGGCCGGCACTCCGGCAGGAAGTTTCCCCGAAGTGTGCATGTGCCGCGGCGGGACACTTTTATAGCCCGCCCGCGCCGCCGCCCCGCCCGCCGCCACCGCTGCCGCCAGGTGACACCGAGCCGCCCCCGCGCCGGCACGTGCGCGGCCGGGGCTCCAGCTGCTGCCGCGCGGCGCCACAGCGCCCCCCCGCGGCCGCCGCGCCGCCCCATTCACGGCGCGCTGCGCTTCCCCATTCATGCTCCCGGCCGCTCCATTCAGCGCCGGCCGCTCCATTCACCGGCGGAGGCGCGGCAGGGATCGACGGGGCTTGCTGTCTGCGGTTGGGTGGTTTGCGGCGCTCGGCGCTATTTTTAGCCCTCCTGGTTAACGCCGGCTCTTAATTAGGCGCCCGCCGAACTCCCCTCCCCTCCTCCCCCTCCTTGATTTAACATCGCACCCGCACGGTAACGTGAGCCCGGCGAGAAACCTCCCATCGGGGAGCGGGTCGGGGCTGCTATAAAAAGCTCCTCGCGAAGGAGACTGGCTGGCTGAGCAGGGGGGGCGTCTGAGGACCCGCGTCCCGGGAGCACCACGTGCTGCCGCAGCGAGGGGGCGGCGGGGGGGACACGCAGCGCCTCGGCTGGCCCCCCGCCTTCCTCCCCCGCAGCCTTTCTTCCTCCCCCGCACCCGGGGCAGCGGGGGCGGTCTGCACAGGGAAGACGGAGAGAAAGGTAGCGGGGATGCCCCGTGCCACCCCTGCGAGCCCGGTGAAGTCTGGATCGCCTGTTCCCCAAAAGCAGCGTTTGCTTCAAAGAAAGGAGGGAACAGGGAGCCATTGCCCAGCTGTGAGGAGGACCCAGTTGACTGAATAGGGTATCCCTTCACCCTCTCGTGCGGTGGGCGCGCTGGCAAATAAACTAAATTAATTAAAAAAAAAAAAAAAAGCACTTTCTTCTGACTGAATCTTCTCGCTTGTATGGCACAGAGCTGTTGAAAATCTCCGAGCAAACTGGGCGTGGGAATCACTCTCCCATTCAGGACAGCGGGCTGCGAGTGCGGGCGGCAGTGCGCGCTGTGCTCCGCGGAGCGCAGGGCTGGGCGCAGCGCTGGCGGCCAGGGCGGCCCCGCGCACCCACCGCCGTCCGGCGCGGAGCCTCCGCGCTCGGCGCTGCTGCACTGCGGGGAACAAGCGGGATCCGCGGCGGGAGCGCGGGGCTCCCCTGCCGGTGCGCGGGGCTGCGCGGGGCGGGGGGCGCTCATGCGGCGCAGCCTGCGCCCGACCCCGGGCTGACGGCGCTGTGTTGTGTCCCGTGGCAGCCCGAGGTGAGGGATAACCAAAGCCACCGTTGTCACCAGCGGTTACGTAACGCGGCGGGTGTGACCGGACACCGCAGCCGCGGAGGAGCGCGGACGGGCAGGGCGGTGGCGGTGGAGGCAGCAGCGGCACCCCCGCCCTGGCAGGAGCCGCAGTCCCAGCCTGCACGGCTGAGTGCCAGGGAAACCCCGAGCTCCCATTCACCCACGGTTTTCTTACACCACCGCGGGCAGCGGAGCGAGGAGCACCGCCGCTCAGCCTCCCACTGGTGAACGAGACCGCTTGTGTTCGGTGCGGGAAGTGCTGATTTATTTGATCACTTACTGACTTATTAAATGCTCGATATTCCGGCAGCGTGTTTCCCGCCGCCCCGATAAACAGCAGTCCCGGGGAGATGTGTCGGCACCACACAGCATTCCTTCCCACGGCTTCCCGAGCAGCATCCAAAGCCCATCCATCACTAGAGATGGAGAGCAGCCGCCCGCGCTACAAGAGGAGGAACCCCTCAGCGCGGCGCCGCAGCCCCTGGGCAGAGAGAGGGTGGTGGTGAGCACGCAGCCGTCCATGGCAGCCGCATCCACCCAGCGCCAGCCCCCGCACTCCATCCCCCGGCCCGTTAGCGCTGTGTCCGTGTAGGTGCATAACAAGTAGGTTATCAAGCTGTGGGAGAAGATTAAAAATAGGAGGAGCCAGTATCAGGGGGATATCACATCAAGGGCAGGCACACGTGGAGACAGGCAGAACTGCCTGGTCCTCAGTAGACCTCCACGGGTGTTTGACTGGACGGGGAGGGGCTGGCTGCCAAGAGACAGCTGCGAAGTTTCACAAGGTCAGGTATTTTTAACCAGAAGGTAAAGCGACGATGAGGATCAGCCCAGGATTTTGCTTCAAAGAAAGGGAATCTGGTCCATGCAGGAACTGTTGTTATTTGTCTCATTCCTGGGATGTTCAGTGACATATTTGCAATTTTGATCCACAAGGGAATGGAGATATCACTCCATCCATCCCATTTTAGTCTTGTGAAAAGAGCGTGCTCTGGACCAAGGCTGCTTGTCCGGTGGGAAGGGAATGCTTCTTGAAAAGGGGACTGAAGATGTCCTCAGGCATCCCTACCAGAAAACCCTGTATGAGAGCTAAGGGTGACTCAAGCACCAGCAAGGGCCATGATACATTGTGAAGCCTCGTGCTGCTGCTCTGTGTGTTGGATTCGCTTCCTGCAGAGTGGGAGATGGGCATCAGGATGTGGGTCAGGCTCCAACAAGAACCACCTTCCCATTCCCCACCAAGGAGTGGGACAGCATTCTCTTTCCTCCCTCTCACCTTGACAGAGACATCTCACACTATAAAATGCTGCTCTTTAAGGTTTTGCATGTGTTTACTCACATTCTGGAGAGTTAAAGACTCTAAGATGCCACCCAAAACAAGCAAGCTGTGAAAACTGCAGAGGAGCGGATCTAACAACATCAGGCTCCTTCACACTGATCGACATTCAGAGTCAGTCAGACAATCTTAGAGGCAGTTTGGTATTGTTTGTTACATTCTCTGAGGCTGGTCTCTCTGCCCTCACATTTTCTACCCTTTTTCTACATATTCATTTTTAAAGTACAACTGAATGAAGTTAAATGATGCTTTGCATGAAAGCAGTGTAAGATAAGATCAGGGCAGAAGAACAAGCAAATCACTTGGGCCAACCACCCCATATTATAATTTAAATCAGAGTTGACTTCACTGTAGTAAGCAACATTGGCAGAGATCTTATTACATGAAGAAATACGGAACTTGTCTGATCTGTCATAAAAGAGTCCTGATTTGGTTTTGCTTGAGTTGTCTGGGACATGCCTGTTGCTCAGTCTGTCTCCAGCCAAGTTTCCTGGTAGATCTTGAACTGATGTTGAAGTCTTGGTTTTGGTCTTGTCTCCTGTTGATGCAACCTGGTCTGTCTGGATGAGTGCAAGCCCTGAGTCTTCCTTTTGTCCTCTCTAGGGCTAGCAGTTGAGCCTGTTGTCAGCACCTGGCTCTGCCTGCTGCTCTTAGGTCCTGTGAGACTGTGCTCTGGCCACAGCCTGGGCCCAGGTTTTCCTTGGCTCCTGGTTGGCTTTCCTATGGAGAAGCTCTTAAAACTACACAGCAATGACATTAGATGGGTTGAAGGAGCACCGCCCACCTGAAAACATAGATGGAAATATAGAAAACATGAGAAGACATCAACAATTCAGCTGGTTCTCTGAGTAAGAGAACGGAGACTGCCTGGCAGGTGGGGCTGAGATGATCCCCAGTAACAGGGGCAGGTACTGAGAGCACGCTGGCGTGGGTGCCTGGCAGAGAATGGGTTGGGAGGGCAAAAGGCAGAACATTTGTCTCCTTAAGGAGAAGTTTTCACCATGGTACAGTGTGGTTTTATTACATCAGAGGAAATAGCTGTGGAAGCTGATAGCAGATAAGATATCTTGGAAGGGGCTGACTAGAATACAAGTATGGGAGGAAGGCCTTGGAGGGCTGCACTGGAACAGGGAGGTCAGTAAGTTGTGGTCCTGTGGCAGAGAAGCAGCAGCTTCTGACATACTTTATGTTTTGGTGCCCTTCTCTCCTTCAGAAAAACCCAAGAGCTGCATGAAATATATAAATGCAGGCTCTATTCTCCTCAATCACAATAGGTATTTCTGTAGTGAAAAGCTGAAACTATCTTAGAACTGAGGTGGAAAAAAATGAGGTAAGCCAACTGGCAGTGTGTTTCTGTGGTGAGCAATAGTGCGGAGAGTAGGAGCAGCTGCTCATTTGAATGCTTAGCATTAAATTAAGTGGGTACAGATTCTGTCTGGTGCTGTTCCTTACTATTTTGAGATCTACGTAATTCCCCTGTAATGCTGAAGAACAGTTATGATGCTGATGGTTCTTGAGCACTCTAGGAAAGAAGGGAAACCCACAGCTCCTCTCCACTGTGGTGCTCAGAGGCATTTTCACCTTTACGTTTGCCAGCCTCTTGGGCTGCTCTCCCAGCACACTGGCACAGTCACTTAGTTCTCCCCATAGCCCTGCCCTGACAGCTGTTGTTCAGTACACAGATCTTGCTTGGGGCAGTTCCACTTCCCCAACAGTTAAACTGCTGTGGCAGCAGGCTTGTTGCAGCTCATCCTGCGGCAGGAGGTATCTACTCTTCATTACATCATCAGACCATTGGTTGTGATGCTGCACTACAAAAAAAAGCAAAAAGCTGGCTGTTGTTCCTTCTGTCTTTTAGAGGAGTGATTCAGAGTGCTGAAATTTTGCCATGTTTTATTTTGTGATGTGCAGCTTTCCTTTGCTGACAAGTCTTTTATTTCAGTGGTTTTTTCGTAGTTATAATCTGTGGCATCTCCAACCTACATGTTTTAAGTCATAAACCAGCTCTGTAGATCCCATCCTCTCTATGAGTATCCGGTTTGGGCAGATGATGCAAGAGATTGATGGGAAATGTGCCAGCTCTTTAATTCTTCATTCAGCACTGCCTTAGAGCAGAGGTTTTGTATTCAGAGAGTGCTGTTATGACAATTCT